GTTACCACCTGAGCAGATTATTCCAACTGGAGAGGAAACTTTAGATTCCCTCATGGCTTTACTTAATGAGATAATGGCATATTTCAATAGAAATTAAATATTAATTTTTTTTTAGATTGTTATCAATTATGTATTTTTATTTGGAAATGACAAGTATATTTATTACTTCAATTTGTAATTTATTGAATAAAAAATAAAGTTTAATATTTATATTTATTATATTATATTTAATGATGTAATATTTTGAATTTCCTGTGCTTCCGACATTACAGAGGAAATCATCTGTAACACCTATATCTGTATTTGAAAAAAATCAATCTATATATTTAATCTTTTAAAACGCTACTTCTGAATAACTTAACTAATTATTAAATATTACTTTAAATTTATTTATTTTATTATTCATGCACTTATAATCGATTATTTCTATTTGCAATATGTTTAAAAGCAATATTACTTACATAAGAATTTATAGATATGAAAATTACGTAAGAACTATTTTTTAGAAAGATATTTATAATATACTCACATATCATACATTTATATAACTAGAAAAACAAGCATGAACTTAATAGTTATTATACATGTTATACATATTATACATATTAAATAATAAAATATATATTATTGCAAAAACATATTTTCTCAAAACACAATAATATATAGCGAGCACGGTTTACATCACTTTATCAATTGTTTATCGACTGTGAATTTGTTTTAAAAGCACTTCTTCCAGACATTCTAAATGCAGTATACACTAAAGAAATGTCGGTCAGTTAAAAAGAATTAAAATATTTTTTTTAAGTAACGCACATTTCTTTGTATTCATAAAGACAAATGAAGGCATAATATTTCTGACTTTTTCGTTTTTTTTTTCGACAACCGAACATATTTAAATTAAAGATTTTGTAAATAACAGTATTTTGAACGCGGGTAAGTTGCTTACATAAATATTGTTGTTTGAGATCGAACATGTTTCTTAATTATTGTAATTTAAATCATATAACTGTGAGCTATTAAAATCCAATCGTTAGATATTGTCATCGATTTCTAAAAAACGATACCAGTGTTTCATTTATTCTACAATACTGTCCGTCATCCCGTTTGTTCTCATCATTTATATACTTATTACTTCTGACAAATTATACAAGTATTTGTACAGGTATTTAACTAGATTTGATTTTATAATTAATTTTAATATAATGATTATTCTTAACGTGCTCTTAATATTCTCTTTAATTTTTTAATATAATCACTTTTTATTTATTACATACTACCTGACTTTTTTTAAGTAATGTGAATATTAACGTACTACTACTAATCCATAATTTAATTATAAAGAATAAAACGGTAGCTAGAAATATTTTTATTTTGAATTTAATGAGTCCATTTCCATGAAAAAGATAATTTATGAGTTAACAAATTAGGATTCAAAAATTAAATATGTATATGATAATAAGAAATATCGATAATCGTTCTGCAATATTTTTATATTGCAATAAGTTTGAAAAAATATTTATAAGAAATTTCTTTATATAACACAGAAACATTATGTGGAAGATAATAACGTTATTTACTATCGTGATGATGGTTATTGCTCAGAAAGCTATCTATAAAAATTATAAAGTTTTTCAAATTAACACGACGCAAAGAATTAAAAAACTACTTCAAACAAAAATAAACAACGGAGTGAGTAAATTTTTTAAAAGATATATAAACACTATAAAAATTCATACAATTTCTTCCTTGTTTTAAACAAAATTAAAGTATTAAAAAAATAAAATTAGTATCATATAAATTCAATAAAATCATATAAATTCAATAACCAAGATTCAAAATTAATTTCTTTATGTAATCGAACTTTATTATATAATCTACTCAACATTTATAAAATTGATTTTGTAAATATTTTAAATAAATAAGTACAATTTAATATGTAAAATTATAAATATAATTTAACCACGTGTATAACTTCTTGAAAATTAAAATTATATTTCAATTAATCAAAATTACTATTGGAATATTGTTTATAGTATATTGTCTGGGAGTCATCGCACTTCTCGAACACGTCACTAGTCCTTATGGTAGTTCCTCACTATCTGCCGCAATTTTACAAATTATTAACCCAAATCGGGGTATCCTATCAGCTTCACATTGAGGACGTTCAAGCATTGATCGATCAAACGATGCCTCCTCATCAGTCATCATTTGATTTTAAAAGCTATCATACTCTGAAGACTATTTATAAAAATTTGGACGACTTGGCCAGCCAACATCCAGACAAAGTAAAGATTGTTGTAGGAGGCAAATCATACGAAGGCCGTCCGATCAAAGGTGTCAAGGTTTCATTTAAAGCCAATAACCCCGGAATCTTTCTCGAGGGTGGCATCCATGCCAGAGAATGGATCTCGCCGGCGACTGTCATGTATATTCTACATCAATTGCTGACTAGCAGCGATCCGGAGGTCAGAGCTTTGGCTGAGAGACACGATTGGTATATTTTCCCCTTATTCAATCCTGATGGATACGTATATACACATACCACGGTAAATCTTATCTAGTAATACTATCCTACATGTATCTAAATTACACGTACAGATTTGTATTTATATTTACGAATTCAAATTATGCACGCACTTAAATTTTTCTTACTTTCAGAACCGGCTATGGAGGAAGACTCGTAAACCACAAAATATCTTCTGCGTTGGTGCAGATCCGAACAGAAACTGGAACTACAAATGGAGTACGTTCTTGTCTTTTCTATGATAGAGTTCTATGATAATCAATAATATCATTGTGATTTTATACCATTTAGATACCAATAATAGGCCGTGCTCCAATTCTTATGGTGGAAGTGAGCCGTTTTCCGAAATAGAAACAAAGAGCATGTCTGAATATATTGAATCTATTTCCGACAAATTCTATGCGTATATATCATTCCACAGTTTTAAACAATTGTTGATGTTTCCTTACGGCTATACGAAAAGACATATCGATAATCACGATGAATTGGTAGGATATTTTATTATAAAAAAGTATAAACATAGTTATTTAAAATATTTTGTATAACAAGAAAAAAAATGTCTTATACAGTACATTACTTATTTTATCTCAACTTTATTATAATTATGATACAATATACAATATACAATATTGAATATTGACTACAATATACTCTATTGATAATTGAGTTATTTGTATTTTTAGGAGGCCATTGCTTTAAAAGCAGCTGTAGCTCTTAAGAAAAAATACGGAACTGAGTATCGGATTGGAAATATCGCCGAGACAATTTGTAAGAATAATATTATTTTTATTTTATTTGTAATCTTTATCATTTTCGTACAGTATTATATAATTATATAAAATTAAGTGACATAGTCAAATTTCTTATTAAAATTGTAAATTAAACGAAACTAATGTAAAATATTTTATTTTAGATAGAAAGATAGAAATAGCTCTCTGTTTTATTTAATTTAAAATACAAATTTTTAAAGAACAAATTTTATTCTAGATTCGGCCTACGGAAATACTGTAGATTATATCAGAGGTACTTATGGCAAGCGTATCGTTTATTGTTATGAGTTGCGTGATCGTGGACATTACGGCTTTCTGTTGCCTTCCGATCAAATTATTCCTACTGGAGAAGAGACTGTAGACTCCCTTGTAGCCATATTTAAAGAAGCTAAAAGACTTAGAGTCTTAGAAAGAGTAAAAGATAATGAAAAATAAAAGAAAAAAAAGATAATAGCATGATAGCACAATACAGAAGATAATAGATTATATAATATAATAATTATATTAGTGATATAATAATTGTTATTACAATATAATTATTTATTATATATCGGATTGTACATTGGATTATACAGGATGTATTAAAAGTCCAGGACTCCTTAAATATTTTAAAAAATAAGAATTTCCAAAAACAATATTTTATACAAAAATTGTAGAGTTTCAAAAGGATTACATAATTATTGATTTATTCACAAATGACGCTACGGCAAAATTTTTTATAACGCTACTTTAAGATGGAACTTATTTTTTAATTTTTATTTAATTTATTTTATTTATTGTAATTATTTATTTGTTTAGATTAATTGTTTCAAATTTTAATTATAAGGAATGCTTTTAGTTGTTATTTATTTTATTTATTTTATTATTTAATTGTTATCAGAGTTGGATAAGTTAATATTATGTTTTAACTAAATTAAATTAAAATTAATAGCTAAAAATTATAAGCTATAATTATAGCTTATAGCTAAATATTAATATTAATATTAACTATAATTATAAAATTAATTTAGTTATATTATATGAATAAAAAACTAACTCAGTTAAAAGTACTTAATTAACTTAAGTTAAATTAAAGATTAATTTTAAAAAACCATATTTATATTAAATTAGAATGTAATATTTAAAATTAAAATATTATATATAACAAAACAATATTATATATATTATATATAAATATTATATATAAATAACAATTACAATACGAATCATCAAATAATTTAATATTTTATTTATATATTAAATTTATATAAAATAACGAAGAAATATTGTTTTTCTATATGCGTTTTTTTATAATTTTTTCTTCTACATAAATAATTTTTTAACTTAGGAAAAAAGTTAATAAGTTATAGTTTATGTGTTTTAAAAATAGCTAGTTTAAGTTTTAAGTTAATTAATTTATAATTAACTAAGTTAGATTATTTAGTTAGAGTATTAACTACATTAAAAGTTATTAACTTTTTAATTTTATTAGTTAACTTTCAATTTTTTAAGATGTTAACTTTGATTATTATGATTAACCAATACGACTAATGCAATAGATATAAAACAGTACTTTATAATTATTAGATTTAAAAAAATATAAAGATAAATAAACGAATTGTTTTATTAATCAAATATATATTCCGTATAATAAAACAAATATATACATTGTTTGTAGAAATAATAAATAAATAATAAGACGAAAAGGCATCATCACAACTGTAAAATTATATTATTTTATATTATTATATAAATAAATATAAATAACAATGACAATAATTTATTGATTTTCTTATACTTTATACTTAACAAGCATTTTCTATATTATATTAATAAAATAAATTGAAAAAAGAGGTAGAAAATTGCATGTGTGTTTGAATACCTGTAAATTAAATATTTCATACATCTAGCAATATTATGATAAGAAAATTATCATAAGATTGACGTGTACAAGTTGCAAATATATACACAGGTGTTGAATACAAGTGGCGAAATGAGAAAGTTATTTATAAAAGATACACATTCACATGAATGTATACTTAAATATAGTATACAATTCTACGTCAATACCTTGATAGCACAAATTAGTGTAATAATGCAACTTTGGTGCCGTGTGCAACTGCCTATTTAAATCAACGAATATCACAGAATCCGTAATTGCAGGTGCTTCTGTTTTACAGAAGGGTAAGTTAACTTTTTCCGAAAAGATTTTTACAGAATAAATTAATAACTAAAGTTGATATCTGTGTATTAAAATTAAAGGGCGATCATCATGTGGAAGATAATAATATTGTGCTCAGTCTTGGGCCTAGTGGCCGCCGAACAGGCTACTTTTGAAAACTTTAAAGTCTTCCGAGTTGCCACAACTACAAAAGAGCAAGTTGATTCACTCAATCAATTGACATACGATTCATCAGATGGAGTAAGTCTTCCAATTATAAAAATAAGTAAAGATAATTTATATAGCCTGTGCAAAAATCTTTTTAAAAATTCTTAATATTTAAGTTAGACATTTTAGCTAAAATTAAAAACAACCTTCTTTAAAATTGTGTAATATAATACAAATTTATAAAATTAGTATAAAGTTTTTCCCATAAATTTATTTAGCTGTTTGTAAAATAAAATTTAAAAAAGATAAAACTGACAATTATGTAATCAATTTTTTAGACTAATTGTATTGTTATTAGACTATACTGAATTAAACATTATGCACAGTTCAACTTTTGGAAGCTACCGAGTCTGAACAAACAGGCGGAAATTATGGTGGCTCCGCACAAACTGCCCGAATTCTACGAAATAATGACGAAACTCCAAATACCACATGAACTTTACATCAAGAATGTTCAGGAATTGATCGATCAAGAAGAACCAGCAACTGCAGCGATAGGGTTCAATTTTAGAGCCTACCATCCTCTCGAGAGTATTTATAAAAATTTGGACGACCTGGCCAGCCAATATCCCGACAAAGTAAAAGTTGTTGTAGGAGGCAAATCATACGAAGGCCGTCCGATCAAAGGTGTCAAGGTTTCATTTAAAGCCAATAACCCCGGAATCTTTCTCGAGGGTGGCATCCACGCCAGAGAATGGATCTCGCCGGCGACTGTCATGTATATTCTGCATCAATTGCTGACTAGCAACGATCCGGAGGTCAGAGATTTGGCTGAGAGTCATGATTGGTACATCTTCCCCTCGTTTAATCCTGATGGATACGTATACACCCATACCAGAGTAAGCTTTGTTTCACAATATCATATGTGTTTATAATTGTTAATTTATAATTATAATTATAATTTATAAAGATTAATTACATGAATATTTTAAATTTATTTTAGAATCGTATGTGGAGAAAAACACGTAAGCCATACGGAATCTTCTGTTACGGCAGTGACCCCAACAGAAACTGGGATTACCAGTGGAATGGTAAGAATTTGTATTATATTAACAGAAAATTGTAATAGCTAAAAATTAAATAATGTATAAACAGTTAGGATTATTTTAAGATCTTTGAGAAAAACTTAAAGATTTAAGATTAACTTTATTTCAACATATTATTTTGTAACAATACATAATTTGACATTGTTAGTTGTTGGCGCCAGTGATTCCCCATGCTCTGAGACCTTTGCTGGAAGTGCAGCGTTTTCCGAAATTGAGACAAAGAGCATGTCTGAATATATTAGGTCTATTTCCAAAAATATCTATGCGTATATTGCGTTCCATAGCTACTCGCAACTATTGATGACACCATACGGTCATACAGAAGAACATCTTGATAACTATAATGATTTGGTGAGTAAATATTTTATTGTAAAAGTATTATATAACTTTGAGAAATTTATAATAAAATAATTATACATAAATCTCGATATTAAGTTAACAAATTAATTATTGCTTGTCTTACGTGATTTTTATAATTTTACAGAAAGCTATAGGCTTGAAATCAGCTGCAGCTCTTGCGAAGAGATATGGAACTAAATACCAAGTTGGAAATATTGCTGAGATAATCTGTAAGACAAAATTTCCTCTCTGTGTCTTTCTTATTCTCTCTATCTTATGTAAAGCTGTGCGAACTATTCGAATCGAATCAAAACTTATATGAAATTCGAATTTAAATTTGTATGATTCGGATTTAAATTGAAAATTTCAAGTTTAGGAATTTTAAATACAAATTATATGTATCGAAACAATCTTTATAAATTATATTTATCGCTAAGAAAAATATAATGACTATGTTATTGAAATAAAATAAGAATATAATTCGTTTTATACACATGCGTGCATGATATTTTAACAATAATTATGTTGTTGATTAAAAATTATGTTTCAATTATGATTTGATTCAATTTGGTTCGATTTGATTCGATTTGAATGAAATTTTATTAATTTAATTCGAATTTGAAAAAGGAAGAGATTCGATCTGATTTAATTCATTGTTAATAATCTTTGATTTGCACATTTCTTATCTATCGTTAAAAAAGAATTTAATCAACATTACACTTAAATATTTATTAATTTTCTAAATAATTTATAAAATTTCTCTCTATTATTTAACAAATATAATAATTTGATATAATTTATGCAATTTGAATTTAAAATAATTTTTCATAAAAATTTAGTTTTTTAGACTTATTTTGTCTACTAGACATATTAGACATATTAAACATATTATTATAATATAATTTTCAGATCCAGCTTCTGGAGGTTCTATGGATTGGGTTAAAGGTACTTTTGGTATACCTATCGCCTATACTTATGAATTGCGCGATCAGGGTCGTTACGGTTTTGTATTGCCGCCTTCGCAAATTATCCCGACTGGACAAGAAACTTTGGACTCTCTTGTAGCCATGTTTAAAGGAGCAAAAGAACTTGGATACCCCAAATAATTAAAGTTAACTCCTTGTAAATAATATTATTGAATAATATTATTGTTTGACAATTTGTTAATTTTTCTTACAACACTGTGTAATCTATAATATAATAATAAATCTTGCCATTTTTGTTTTCAATTGCATACAATGAATTGAAACTTAAAGATTTGTAATTTTATTAATTAACATTACATTATAAATAATATAATATTTGTTGCGAATATTATCAATAATTTATTCTTATTTGGCATATTATTAATTTATTTCTTGATTTTATGATCAATTGTTATGAATAAATTTTTGATATTTTGATTCTAATTATATACAATATTTTGAATTTTATATGCCATGTTTGATATTTACAAAATTGTATATATATCATTATCACAGAAAAAAATGCTAGCTTATGTTTTTTATTTTGAATTTAATCCAATTATTTGATTTATTCTTATTACCTGTTTGTTTAAATAAATTTTTTTTTTAATTCCACGTTTTATAATCTACAATTTTCTTTAGCGATACATTTAAGATATTGTCAGTTATACATACATAATATACATGTTGTACGTTATATAATATTTTTATAGTAATACAACATAATATATTACATATAGAAATAATTATGCGTTATAATTATACAGTTGTAGAAATATAGAATACAATATATCTGTATATAATTTTCCGGATGGCCAATTGTCAATAAGCTATCTCTCGAGTAATGAATCATTTGTGAAAAAAACATCGCTTATGTAAAATATAAAATAGCACGCACTAATAAAAATTACAATTTTTTAAAACTGAAATTTTATATAATCGTAAAAATAGATACAGATTTAATAAATATTTAATGATGAATTTTTTATTTTTCTATTCTTGTCGCATAAATAATTTATTAGTAAAAATTATAAATATAGGTAGATTCAAATTTGAGATAGTTAACCAAGGATACATATTTATAGTAAACAATGCATACTTATATAACAGAAAACCATCTGAGAACTAAATATAAAGACCTATTCTGACGTTTTGATAACAGAATGACAAATTATTGTGATAGTGATAGTAGATTTTTGGTGCCGTGTGAAATTCTGTATTTAAATACAATGAAACACTACAGTATCTGGTAATCACAAATATTACTGTTTTGCGGTAAGGTAAGCTAGTTTTCTTTTAAACAATTCAAAAATAAAGAGAATTAAATGCAACATTATCCAATTAAAAATTTATTTATTTGTTTTAATTTATTTATTAATAATTTATGTATTAATAATCTAATTGCTTTCCAATGTAAATATTGGTACGATAAGAGAAATTTGCGATAAATATAATAATTAATGAAAAGTAATATCATAAATTAAAATTAAAGAGAAATATAGTGGTGAAAACATAATGTGGAAGACGATAATATTACTTACGATAATTGGCCTGGTGACCGCCGAGAAGGCTACTTTTCACAATTATAAAGTCTTCAGAATTACTCCAATTACACAGACGCAAGTTGAACTACTGCATCGATTAATGGAGATTCCAAATGAAGTAAGTAAATTCTTCAAGCATAGATAATAATTAAATATAATGAAAATAATATTATAAAAATAAAGTAAAGATAAAAACTCTGACTTTTTATTTATAAAAAGTCTGTTTCTTGAAAAATTATTTTAATCTAAATTGCATTCTAAAAATCAAAGTAGAAGAAGTATTGAATTTAAAATATCTTGTTCAAAACCAATATTTCATAATAAGAAAGATGCTACAGATTTAAATTTTGTAAATATATGTATTGTTTAAAACTAACATACTTAAATTTTGAAAAAGACACACGATAATAGTTGTTTTGAAATTAAATATCTTCTTCTGTAAATTATATTAATTTGTAGAATTAGTTTTATGAAACATGTAGAATGTACTTTGAGTTTTACAAGATCATTTTTATACGTATGTAATTTATTTATTAAATATTAGAAATTGAGAGCAAAATTGACTTATATAAACCATTTTTAAAATTGAAATTAGATTGTTATTAAATATCAAATATAAAAATCAAATATATTATTTACAGTTTACTTTTTGGAAAGAACCAACGTCTGTAAACACAGAAGCGGATCTTATGGTAGCCCCGCATAAGCTGTCTACATTTTACGAAATAATATCTCGGATTAAAGCACCTCACAAAGTTTATATTGAGGATGTTCAGGCATTAGTCGATCGAACGACATCCGCAAATCAGACGGCGTCATTCGATTTTTATAATTATCACTCTCTTTGGGAGATTTATAAAAATCTGGATGAGCTGGCCATAAAATATCCTAATAAAGTAAAAGTCATCGTAGGTGGCAAAACATCCGAGGGACGTGAGATCAAAGGCGTCAAAATTTCCTTTAATGCAAGCAATCCCGGAATCTTCATCGAGGGGGGTAATCATGCTAGGGAATGGATCTCCCCAGCGACTGTCATGTATATCTTGCATGAGTTGTTGACCAGCACGGATCGGGATGTTATTTCATTGGCTATAAGTCACGATTGGTACATCTTTCCTGTATTTAATCCCGATGGATACGTGTATACACATACTACAGTAAGCCATCTTTTATAATACGTAGCACGTTATTTATTAATTTATAATTTTTTTAACTACTTTCTTAGAATCGTATGTGGAGAAAGACACGTGAGCTGCATGGATTATTCTGCAGAGGTACCGATCCCAATAGAAATTGGGGCTATAAATGGAATCGCAAGTACTCGTAATTTTTTCTTAAGAAAATTATAAAAACTAAAAAAGAAGATATTTATTAAAAATATATAATGCTAAAAATTGCTAAGAACGTAATAAAAATAAAGAGTTTAATTAAGTGCAATTAATTTGATATTTGTTATACATTTTCGTTAATATTATTATATTTCGTTAATATTATTATATTTATAGGAAGAGGTTCCAGCATGTTTCAATGTTCTGAAACTTATGCCGGAAATGCACCGTTCTCCGCTATAGAAACAAGAACCATGTCCGAATACATTAGATCCATTTCTGACAAATTCTACGCGTACATCTCATTCCACAGTTATTCACAGCTTTTGATGTTCCCTTATGGTTACACAACAGCACATCTTGAAAACTATGAGGATTTGGTAAATATTTTTGAAAAAAATATCTTGTTAAAAATATGTTGTTTTTGAAAAATTATGATATCAAATCTGAATATTAATGTATTTGAATATTAAGTCAAAAACAAGTGAAACAATTAACATTTTGAAATAATTAATATTTTTTTTGTACTACGATTATACTGTACTTATTAGCTTTGTGCAACTTATCATTTAAAATATAAATTAATGAAAAAATAATTATATAGTAATAAAGAAATCTATTTTAATAACATACATATTTAATAACTTAATTATTTAGTAATATTTAGTAAAAGTAAATCAAATAATTGATCAGATTCTTTAATGATTTAAATTTATAGCTGGTAAATTGTTATTATCTTTGTTATTATCTTTGTTATTATCTATTGTTATTATCTATTGTTATTACTTTATTTTGCAATATATAATACATAATCTTTATGATTTCAGTATGACATCGCGGCGAAATCAGTTGCAGCTCTTAAAAAGAGATACGGAACTGAATATCGTTACGGAGATATTGCTGAAACAATTTGTAAGTGGAGAAATTTTAATTTATTAAATATTTATAAATATTTTATCTCCTCCCTCTCTTTTTATCTTTGTTCTTGAATTACTATGTTTTTTAAGTTATTATGTTTTAAGCTATTAATTTGGTCTACTACATTTAAAAATTTCTTTTATTTTTGAACTATAATTTACAAAATTGATATTGTTGTGATATTAATTGCAATATTAAAATAATTATTTATAAAGATAGTCTTTTAAAATTATTTTCAGATGTGGCTACTGGAAGTACTGCGGATTATGTCAAAGGTGTTTGTCGAACACCTATCGTCTACGTTTACGAGTTACGTGATCAAGGACGTTATGGCTTTTTGTTGCCTCCTGAGCAAATTATTCCGACTGGAGAAGAAACTCTAAACTCTCTTGTAGCTATGTTTAAAGAAGCAAAGGCTCATGGATATCCCAAAAGTGATTAAAAGTGATTAAAAATAATTAAAATAGAAAAATTAAAAAGATATTAAGACAATTAAAATTTGAAAAATAGTAAAAAAAAGTCAATAAACTATTTTTAATAAATAATTTGATAATTTTTCTTTTAATGTTGTGTACTTTATAATTTATAATTTTGAACATTAGAAATAATAAATACTTTATTAATAGAATTATACTTTATAAATAGAATAATAAATACTTTATTTTTATATGATGTTATAAAGAAAAGATTCAAAAGATTTTCAATTTTATTAATTATTATTGAACTATAAATAATGTCGATGTCAATAACACTATTGATAGTGTTATTGATAATTTATTCTGATATATTAAATTATTTATTTTGCTACTTTATTGACTATTATTAAATTTTAACATTAAATATGCACAATGTTCCACGCTTGATATAAACAAAACAATAAATGTACAGGAGAGACATTAATCTTATAAAATGCAACAACGTTTTAAGTTAACATCAAGTCGATTTTCATAATATTACACACACACACACACACACACACACACACACACACACACACACACACACACACACACACACACACACACACACACACTACTA